ATGGAAAACTAAATAAAAACTTCTTTTTTTTATAAATGACTCTGTAGTTATTTAAATCTATAAAATTCAAAAACATTATCATATATGAAGTTTAAAGTAATTTCAGTTTACATTTGGTATTTTCACTTACTCATAAAATAAATAATAGTTGAATGTTATGAAAATAATTTTGATGTGGGCGAATATCTGTTTTATAATTATATTTACCTGGCATTACACAATAATAAACTAAAATATACATAATGCGGAATCGTGAAATTTTATATGAATTTACAGATCCTATTAAAAAATATTTTTATTTTACAATACTATATTAATATAAAACTGTTACTATTATTTTGTTTATATTCAATTAATATTGTCTCTTTAAAGTATCATTGACGTGCGTCAAAATATACTTATTTATGTGATACCTGATAAACTTTATTAATATTCATTACAATGATATTTCGATATATCAGTCTCAAGTATCTAAATTTGAATATCTTAATGAAACAGACGTTAACTTAACTAAATACTTTGTTATTATTCAATCTTCAAAATTGAAATGATATAATCTTATTTTTTCGTAAAACATATATTATATGTTTTAAGAAAAAGTAAAATCATAATATATTTATTATGTTGTATAATTCATATGCATTTATATCATAATAACTGGTGATTTTGTAATAAGCTAATATAGAAGATCACACTCATGTGCCACATATTTTATGTTTTTTACATACTCTCTTTCCAAAGATTGTCTAGAAGAGATTCCATTAGCGATAAGACTGCCTTTTGTATTTTTTTCTAATAATTCAACTTTGTTCATATGCTTTATGTGTTAGTACTATAAAGTGCTATATAAATACATAAAGAAGAAGTGAAATAGAAAACAAACTTTGTATCTTCTTAGAAAAAGTGTAAATTAAGTGGAAGCATGTAGAGTTAGTAACTACTACCTCGTCTTTAGTCCGATGTTCAACTTCTTCTATACCGCAGACTATGTAACAGGATGACGATAAACACATATGAAAACACACACGAGTATACATCGAAACGTGATGTTTTAATATTTCTTAAATAAGTTCACAAATGGCAACAAAAGTAATAAGGTTAGGTTTTATCTGTAATGGGCGACGACGCCTGTATGTTCAGCAGTATAACCTGATATATGATGATATACATAAATTCGTAATTATTCTTGGTATTTATATGTATTCTATTAATAGCTTACAATATCCAAAAGGAAATTCCAATGTTCAACAATAGACTTATTTAAGTTTTTATTTATATTAGACCCCTTGTTCCGTAAAAAGAATGGCATACCATAAAAATATTTTCAAATATGATTTCGGAGATCTATTTTAGGACCACACTCTTGAAAGGGTGAGGGTGATAAGTAGTAGCTATATTGGCAGATAAATAAACTCGTTTTCAACTAGCTATCGTTTTATTTTTAACTTTCAGATTTCTAGTGCTCAACGGAATTGAAGTGCTCCGCAATGAATTTCATACTGCAGATTGCATTGAATATGAGTACAAAGATAAGCGTTGGGTAAAGAGTACCTACGTACCATATTGCTACGGAATTATATTCGAAAAAAGTTCCTATGAGATGATGAAATTTAAATGTAAAATTAGATATTTCTACATAGAAACAGAGAGTTTTATCAGTGTTCATTTAAAGTTAAAAAAATATTATCATTTTTTTACAATATTTACCCTTTATTCCCATAAGTAGATATAACGCTAAAGGGACGACCTGATAAGAAAACCGCCGTAGGCCGCTGCTACACAGACAAAGGACTTAGTTTGTTTTCGGATACACAAAAGATATACAATAATGTATATACAGAGTAAACATCCTCCCTGCCTTATACAAATGTATTTCAGTTCATTTTGTTTTTTAAGATATCATTGAGAATGTAATCATTTCAACCATGTCATTATTGTTATTATTTAAATATACCATGACTTAAATAATTTTATATGAAAGTGGGAACAATAGATAGACTGTATGAAAGATGATATACATAAAAGTAGACTAAACTCATATATGAGAGCTGATAAAATGGGGCCGCTGGAAGATGATATACTGCACCGCCACAAATAATGGGATAAATGCAAGGCATTGATGATTTTGTTATCATTATTATGACATAAAATTGTATCATATCATATTCTTACATTAGTAAAAAACATTATATTTATATTTGAAACTACATATATGTAACCGGTAATGAACAGGTGCACTTATAATTATTCTCATGATTCAAAATGCAATAATTTAGTAAGTACCCACTTATTCTCAATATTAACATGATGATGTTAGGTTTTTTGTATAATACCACTTATAGACGATATGGTTAGCTGATAGAGTTTGTTTATTAAATTAAGATTAAAATATGAAATGCCATGCTGTTTCTATAAACAAAATAAACATTCAAGGTTTAATAAGATATATTATGCATTGGAGCAAGTACTAAATGAGAGCGAAATAAATAATAGTATGTGGAACATAGAGAGGGTGGACACTGTCTTGTATAACTCGTACTACTAGTCAGCACGTTTCGAATGATCCCTGCAGCTGTTTCTAACAAAGTTTAACTGAACAAAATTCAAACGCAAAGCACAGCATGTTATATTTGTATCCTCATTTAGACCTACAAGCGCAATTAGATAAATATAATTTAACATTTCATAGCGACATATACTATATGTAGTTCGGCGATCCACCTGAAATATAAGTTATTCAAACAGGGGCGTTGCTGTCCATAAATGTAATGTTTCAGTAAATAAAATAAAATTAAAGATATTATAATAAAATACTCCTTGATATAGGACATTAAACAATAACTAATATTATGGTAGTTAAATTTATACAGATATGTCTGTTCCTAAATTACAATTAAGCAATACCGTTTGCAAGCGGTTAGGTTGCCGAATGTAGTGTAGTTATTTTCTAAATAAACAGACTTTAAACATTTTAATATTACAATTTAGAATGTTTATATAATAATATTACATAATAACATTACTTAGTACCAAATTTTGCAGAATGTGAACAATATAAAAGATGTGTTTGGTTATACTTGCAAACAAATTCAATAGCTTTACCAGAGGAAGACTGTAAAAAGTAGTCTGCGTGCTGCTAAATAGGTGGCAATCAGGCAATTCTACGTATTTCAGCCGCGAAGCAATTATTTTTCGATTATTGGATACAATTAGACAATGACATTGCAAAATAAAAAGGATGACTTCTTAGTTCAATGTGATGGTGTCGTTAGCTGTTTACCATTCCAATTACATGAACACATCGTTACCTTAACATGATATGTATGTATAATCTTTAATTAATTACATCCGAAGTACAAACAATTCGGCCGCACGCTTATCCCAACAACATTTATCTTTAATCTGACTTATTAGTTTCTATTTACGTAACGGTTATTGGAAGTTTAGAAGCGAGTTATATGTTGACGGTTCACGTAGTTCTCCCATAAGGAAAATATATATAACAAATCTATCTTTTACTAATATAAGAATATAAGTTAAAAGAAAACTAACCTTAATCCTGCTTACGTTAGTTATAAATGTAAGAGAAAAGATGAATGTGTATTTATATATCTATTTGTTCCTTTCTCTGGTGGAAGCAAATTGTTACTAAGAGGAACTAAAGGTTCTACTGCCAGAAATGTAATATCCTAGTCCTCCACTGGTGCCCGCATTTCCATTATACTTCATAAAAACATACAACCCTACTGATGGATAGTCAAGTATATCTACATAAGAAAAAACAATCCTACTACTATAACTGTAGTAAGATCGGTATAGATATTATTTTAATTTTGTATTTTTTTTACTTTTTATATTCACACTATACACATATTGTACTTTGATACCCTAGCCGCCACTTGGCGTGGATGAAAAAGAATGGTCGTTGACGATGATGATAATATTATTTTTGTCAGCCTGATTTGAATTCCCGGCCTTTGGGATCGAAGTCCGAAGAAAAATTTAAAATTTATATTATTTATGTACTTCTGTGTAAATGTCGCAACATTTGTTATCGTCGTGAAACATGTAATATTTACCAACATATTTTTTTTATTTCGATGGAAAAACAGTGTTATTCCATCTATTTCATTTCATATTTGAAATCTGTCAATTTACTGTTAATAATAGTCATTACATCAGTCATTACATGTACAGCTTACTTTATAAAGTCACGAATAATAATTTAAAAACGTTTATAATAAAAATCTGATTACGTGTTTACGTGATAAATGGAGTTAATTTTAATACTTATCTATATACTCACACATACGTCATACTAAATAGAAAGTATATTAATAATGTTAATAACTTACTTTGAGCTAATTATGTTATTACTCGGACACTAATACAATTGTCTACAGCAGTGTTAGCGCAGTCCAGTGCGGCATTCCATTATCATCCATTAAAAAATCCATTAAATAAAGAATTTGTTTGACCAATTGACCATAATGTAATATTATTTATATATTTTTTTTCTCTATTAATGTTATTATAATTACTATTAATGTTATTAATTTTTCTTAAACTCCATGAAACTCCTCTAAACAAAGAAGTTTAATTCTTCATACTTAATCGGTAAATTTATTGCATACATACAATCGAAATCTTACTAATATTATAAACATATAAATGTAGATAGATGGATAGGTGAATCTTTGTTACTCTTTAAGGCAAAAAATTCTGAATATATATTTTAATAAAACTACAATAATATGGCTTATACATCATTATAACACATATGCTATAAATTTCACGCGGATAAAACTGCGGGCATAGCTAATAACCTTATAATACTTGAAGTCTGTTCCTCGAAAGCTACTTTTCTCTGCAAATATTTATCGTAAAAGGAATCATTCCACTATAATAGAATAAAGCATAAATGTGAGCGCATGTGCAACGAAGCGGCGGGTTGTAGCGTAGCTGTGAAATTGCCATCGCGCGTAACCAGTACCGTTTGGGCCGCGGCGGCTACGCGACGTAGCACGTAGACTCGGCCGAGCTACGAAGTTCTCGGCGTAATATGCCGCGTCTGTGAAGTTTCGGTGACGTTGCGATGTGACTTGAATGATGTCGTTGGGAAAACTTTTGTTCTATGTACACTTCGGACTTGTCTTCCATGTTGTGATTTGTTTTAAGGACACTGTGGGTAAGATAATTGAGATAAATTTTAATTAGTACACAACCATTTGTAATAAGGAAGATTGTTTTATAAGGAAAAAGGAAATAATGTACACATTTCATAAATAATTTAACTTTCATCGTGTGTTGTTAGTATAATTTTTATATCAAAATGTTTTTCTTTGTTTTTTATATTAGAGAGCATTACATTTTATGAATAACAGAGTTACAGTCAATAATATTTTCCTATGCATAAAAATAAATAAAATTGATATAAATTAAATTCATTTCACTATTTATTTCAATTTTCTCTATAGTCCGGAAACAGGATTTTGGGAACTAAAAATACAAAAGTTATTAGCAATGTAAGAAATAAAGATATTTTTTAAAATAATTATGTGATTTTTTTTCTTTCATTTTGATTGTAATCTATTTATTTTGTATATTTTCATACACCCGTCAGATTAAGAATGAAGTAAGTTCATATCGGTCAACCCATCAGTCATATATTATGATGAAAGATTAATTTATTTAAATTTATTTGCGAGATTGTTGTAGTCCAAGGAAAGTTTTTCTGGTTTCGAAGTAAATTTTTAAATAAAGAAACCTAAAAATGTACTAACGTAATGCGATTTGTTTTGAAGTACCAAACAAACATTTAAAGGGCTTTTACGAAAAATCATAAAATATTCTGAAATGATAAAACATTGAGAAAGAAAAATAGTCTATTAAATATAGAATAGGACAATATCTGTTATTGACCTGGTGATTTTATTTTGATTCTTGTTTCCATAAAATAGACTTTGTCTTTGCTAGATCTTCATGGTTTGGTTTCTTACAAGCTAATTTAACAAACTATAACATATTATTTATACAAAGAAATTTTAATTTTAGTTCTGCATATAATTAATAGCCAAAACATAATTATTTTAATTACTAAATGTGTTCCGAATTGTCTTCTCCTAATTTGTCCATCATCATAATTGCTATGTATTGTCAACTAATCAATCAAGACAATTAAAAAGTCATTTATTCATATAAAAGAATACACGAGTATACATATAAAATGAAGTCACAAAAACTAGTTACTCTTTTCAAACAAAATTTGAATGATTACAATTGTAACATTTTATTATCAACAAATACTCGATGCGGTTTTATCTAATAGTTATAATATTAAAATAGGTTATAGTCAATAGTTTCAAGTATGTAATAGATATTCGAGTATGATGGTTGACATATCCATCATTGAATTAGCATATGACCTATTGTATTTAACTAAATTGCGTCTTCTGTATGGCATACTTAATATCTTGTGAATATTTACACGTATTTTGTAACTATTTTTTATTTGTTAATGAATCCTTTTACTTTTAAATATAGAATAGACTTTAATTTTTATTTAAATAAATTGGGACGACTACATCGCCAACACAAAGAATTTTACCATACAGTTCCGGGCCATTGCCATTTCCAAGAATTAGATAGCAGAACAAATTACATTACGTATTCTGCAATACGATACGTTTAAATACATTCAAAAATACAAAAAGCAAAGTATACAGTACTGATGGTTTACTTAGTTACCGTTATGAAGTAAGCAGCGACTTGAATACGGGGTTACGTTGGCGTATGTTATTCAAATCCTTGGAACGTACGCATTATGTTGTTTGAATAGCCTTTGTGTTGTTCAGCACCCATTATATAAAAATTGGCTCTAATGTATCCAAAGTTCAAATATGAAAATGTTAAAAGACACCGCAATATTATTAGGTCTAATAATTAAACGGAATTATACGAATATTGTACTTAATTAAAATTAACACAAAAAAGTAACAAGAAATCACACATATTATATACATATGTATTAGTAAAATTACTTATCTACACAGTTTAATAACTTAAACATTGTTATACAATAAATTAAAATGAAAACTTAATTCCAAAAGCAGTACCGTTTTTATTCTAATAATATTAAGAGATTTTCTAAATTTCTATTCTTAAAGACGAAACTTCGAAATTGACGGAAATAGCTCACTAAGTTACTAAACTAATTGATAAGTAGTTTCGTTCCTTTATAGCTTAGTATACTCGCGTGGCCAATTTAACACAAGGTTAAATAATAAAATATGGGAACTTCTATTCGTACCTAATATACTTCGTTAACATTGTCAGAAGTTTTAATATTTACTTTTATTTTTGCTTATCATGTTTCTGAGAAATTGTATAAATATTGTTTAAAAACTTATATGCGTACATATGTATTTTCCGTCCAGAACTCTCATGGCGAGATGTTAAATTCGTAGAATGAAATTTCTATTTAGATATTATAGCATTAAATAAATACACAATATAATTATGTATGAATTTATATGAAAAACACATTAAGTATTTACTTTGACAATGTAAATACTTACTTTGCTATCAAAACTAAGTATAATTTAATTCAAATCCTCTCATGCAATAATTTTTTTGTAGGCCTATTGTCTAGGATCACTGAATCAAAATTTTCATTAATCTAGTTTAGAAAAAAAATCAATGGCAACTTATTGTAATATAATACATGTTTCGATCTAATATAATTTATTGGTGAATGGATTATTTATATGAGGATATTCAACTACCTGATTGTCAAACATGTTACCTAAAACACGCTTACCTAACTCATTCCCAGATTAAAACCATAAATTTAATTAACACTCAATCAATTTTCTCTCTAACAACATTCGTTGTTTAACTTCCCTTTGCATGAATTATCTTACTTAATAAGGATTAATAAAAGTGTTATTTAAACTACAAACATCCATATGGAATGTGTACTTAGTGGAAACGTCGAACAGCCGTATGTACAAGTTGTTATACCGCCATCCGAGCGGGTTGTTGTTGCAGGACCCGAGTAAGCCGGATTAACAACATCCCATTTGATGCACAGCTCTCACCTTACGTTAAGTACTTTAACGTTGATCATAGTTTCCAAATACTTGTCTTCATAAATAATCAAATAATACACATATAACCCTGGCTATCTGACACAGCAAGAAACTTGTTTTTATACTACTATTCTGAAATACATATTATTTAAATATTTACATAATATACATAGAAAAAATCTAGACTAATACAAGCAAAAGGAGCAAAAGTAATAATAGTAGCAATGTACTTATAAATACAATGTTTTCTACTGTACTGAAATCGAACACACTTTTTTTTAGGTACCACTTGAAAAAAACATCTGAAGTTTACTAAACTACAAGACTACCAAGGTCGTTTAAATATAAACTCATTCAATATATTGTACTAGAGAGCATAACATTTTTTATTTTGCTAAAATTAAAAAGGAAAACTAACTGAATCTGAGTTACTAACAAACTGTAATAGAGTATATCTGTTTTTGAAATGGAGCATTCAGAAAGTAACATAAAGGTAAATACTTTTCATGATATAGTATAACTACGTATAGGTATTATGATTTTATATCATATCGCATGTTACATTCGCTGATTCAATAACCTACAAAGCGATGACATACAGAAATATGATATGGTATGTATTAAGACATATTGAATACCAGAACCGTAATATACATATTTTTTACAATACATCTACTCAGAAATCGAATTATATTTAGATATCATTTCATAACAAGCCACAAAACAATATATTTCCCGTTTTTTTTAATATATATACAGTAATGTATACCAATTATCATGCCCACATTATTAACTAGTTTGACAGTTTAAAGAAATAAAAATGACATTTATGGCAAGTAGAAGATTGTAAAAAATAGCATAAAAGAAATGCCATTTATAAATATATTTATTTTATTTATTCTTTAGTTTTAAAAACCAAAGTGAGCACAAATTTACACCTTTGAAGTAATGGCGTAGCATCAATAATTCTATTTAATATAATTGCCGATATCAATAATACTAATAAACAAAGTAATGATATTTAAATAAATTTCCGTAATAGTAGTTCAGGATTGGTGTATACAAATTTTATTGCGTGAAAACAAATATAAAACATACTTATTATAAAAATTATATGTTACGTTTTCAAATGCGTTATGATTTCCTATTCTCGATTAATCAAACGCTAAAGTAACGTTCTCATAAATAAGCTATTTTTTTTTTAATTTCTTATCAAATTATTTCTTGAATTCTTACATCTCTCGCCTCTTCAATTTAATAACTTGTCTAATTGAAGCTTATAATGTTTGAAGACTCTTGACTTATGACTGAGACAGTGTACAATCTATCTGGTAATATACTGATCTTATCCTGCTCCAATACCAGAATACTTTTTTCCCATTTTATATATGTTTTCATCATTCTTTCACCCGACATTCTTTCCATTTGCAAGTTTATATGTCATAGACAAAGATATACTTATCAGTGTAATCCTATCCAAATATCTACGTTATTTCGCTAGTACATGTATCCCTTACCACACTACAGTTTTATGACTATTACTTGACAGATGAGAGGCTTACTGTCTTTCTTTCATTTAGACATAGTATATAATATCGCCATACCTTCAATCCCCAAACATCATTTCCACATATATGTATCAGTACTTCATTTCCATTTATTTATATAATAATATATAAAGCACATCAAATGGATGATGTGGTAGGTAAAACTTAGTAGTTCTGGGACAACTTTATTCTTTATATCTATTCTATATGCCGCCTGCTACAGTCTTATAAAAGTTTGATGACATTCAATTATGAAATAATGGATTTTAAGCTATTCTTAAAATCCATGTATCTATATACATAGGTACATTATATTACACAAAAATAACTTTTATGCGTAATTTCGTACTCCTACATTTATTAGTTTTACCTGTAGGTACGTTGTCCGTCAGTCGCTGTCAAGAGTTTTGTGATATAAATGTGAAAGCTTGTGGAGATGGCTTTTTTATATTTATTTAATCACGCAAAGAGCTGAATAGGTAAAAATTATTGCAGACAGATAGAATCCAGTAATATCTCATTATTCCATTATATATGTATCTTTTGTATTC